CTAATCTTGTTCAACAACGAAATGTTGGTTCTCATCTTCCAACAATTAATGATGTGAATGAAGATGAAGTTTGTTAATGAATTAATCTTTCTTTTGAATTAAGAATTTTACTTTTCGATTTGCTTTTAGGATGAAAATACAACTACTATAAATCGTCCTCTATCTGTTTTATCTCGTATTAGTTCATTACCGACTCGTTTATTTTTATTTCAACGAAATAATAGTATTTCTGGTGCTCCAACTGAGAAAATTTAAATTACCATTTAATTTAATAAATAATTTGTTTTGATTTAAATAAATATAGTAATAAAAATATATTGTTTTTCCATTAATATGACCTAAAGAATTTGAATTGATGTTTCTAAAAAACATTTCCTAAGATTTCCTATAGATAATTATGTATATGTACATCATAACGAAGAGCATGTATGCATTGAATTGAATTATTTCATTTTGTCTTAGAACATGTCTATAAAGAATGATCAATAGACCCCGTCGTGTCCACAGTTTTTTGAACTCGGCTAATAGAAAAATTGTATACTCGATTCGGGATCAGTTCAAAGGGTTCTTCTAACATTCAGTATACAAAAAAATGTCAGATAAACCATGCTTATTCAAATATACTTCTTTCTTTTTAGTAAATAAAAGTTCATTAAACTAATATATTAAAAATAGAAATTAATAAACACACATATCATAAAACAATAAACAAAAATACAATCTATTGTAAAGTTTTTGTTTTTTAGATACATTCGATTGTAATGAATAAGTAATAGTAAGACAAAAATTGAAGGTCAATACCAGCAGTACTTGAAAATATTATATAACTGTGCCAAAAAATAAATATCTTTTCTTATCACATAGTCATGAATTATTTTAAAACCGTATTCATATTCAATTGATTGATTCAATTCATTTTCTATTAAAAAATACTTTTTAAAATAAACTTACGAGGGAACCGTCCGAAGTGATTAACCGCTTTTGAGTTCGGACTCTATACATAAGACAGACCCTAATGAGATATGAAAAACCCCAAAAGGACAAGTGCCCATAGGCCTTCTCTACAA